TGAGGGAGGGCGGCATCTCCCTCCTGCTCCTGCTCCCGCAGAGGCGCCGCCGGCCGTGTCTCCCGTCAGCGCCCTTGTGCTTTTGCACACACAGGCTCTGGCGGGCGGCTTTTCTCTGAGGGGCCGATGGAGCCGGCCGCAGGGGCCTGACTGGGGCCTGTTTCCACGGGAGCCTGCCCGCGGCGACCTGGCTTCACTGCGGGTTTGGAGCCGGTCAGCTCACTGACCTTGGGGTTGCTTGTTAGATCTTGGCCTTTCTAAAATTTCGGGGGCATTTGAAGTCACGAATGAGGAAGACCCCGGGGGCGGGGGTGCTTGCGCAGGTGTTGGAGGGGGTGTGTGCCTCCCCTGAACACCTGCCTGATCGCGTGACACGGTGCAGTCCTGGAGACGCCCCCGTGCCGTTTTACCCGGCGCCCTGGTCGGGAGGGGCCTGGGTGCTGCTGCTGGCCAGTCGTCCGCGTGCTGGGCCTGGGCCTGCCCTTCCCTGTGCCGGAGTCAGGCCCCAGCTTCGCCCCGCCTCCCAGCCTGCCTGCTCCGGCCTGTGCCTCTCCATGCTGACCGAAGCGTGGAAGGAGGGTGCTGGGACCGGGCTCCCACGGCCAGGAATGTGGCTCAGGGCATGTCAGCGCCTCTGTGGCCGCCTTCTCCCGGCCCTGTGTGCGCAGTGGACACCATGGCCGGCTCCCCTGCGCTCCTGCTCGTGGACAGGTTGGTGGCCTCTTGCCTGCTGCCTTGCGGTTGGGGACTCAGCTGAGCTCGGCTTGCCATGTTGTGTGGGCTTTCATGGGGTTTAAGCCCCCACTGCCTGGCGGGGTTCTGGGGCCAGGGCATCATGTCTTTTACCACACCCCTTAAGTGGGCAGCACCCCTGACTCTGGGGCTGTTTAACATCAGCTGCTGGGAGGGGATTGGTGCCCGACACCTCTGGTGGCAGGGGACAGGGGCTCTCGCTCAGGCATCAGTGGGGGGTGGCCCTGTGCCCCTGCTCCCCCTAGGCGGGTGGCCCGAGTCTCGCTGGAGGTTTGCTCTTGAGGGGCTGCCTATTCGCACGTGTCTGGCAGCTGAAGTGGACTCGCCTTTCTCGCTTGTGTTTTCAGAGCAAAACAGGTAGAAATGGAGCATGTGAGATTTTGAGGGGTGAAGATCTAGAAAACAGACCCAGCAGATGGACATTAGAAGAATCATTAAGCCGTTTGTTTTCTCCAGAGCGGGAGCCGGGCTCATGTGCCCCGTGGGGAGAAAATCTCTCCCCCGAGGCTCTCCCCTGTTTCCTCTGTGGGGTGGCGACTGCAGCCCCCTTCTGATGCTGGGGTGGAGGGGCATATGCCACGTGGAGCGCCCGGCACTGCCTGGGAGCCTGCTGGTGATGGGGTGGGGTGCGGCTGCTGCAGGAAGAGATGACCTCGGGCCAGGCAGCTCTCCGGGGAGCCAGGTGCTCCACGTCTCGGTCTGTCTGTGGTTGCTTTGGAGTCGGGGACGCTCACGGCTGTGTTCATGGGTCGCTGCCGCCCAGGTAACTTGGACCCACACCTGGGAGGGGCGGGGTGCGGAGGGCGATGTCTCAAGGCTCCGAGAGTTTTGAGAAACCCCGGATGCGTGTCCGGGGCTGGTGGGGCCGTTCTGCCAGGTCTGGGAGGCCTGTGCCCGCCTGCACCCCAGTCCGTCCACCCCCGGGACACGCCTCCACGTGTGTGCTGAGTCTCAGCTCCGTCCTTGGCTGCGCGGCTCTGGGCAGGCCCTGCAGCGCCCCCCAGTCTGTGACAGTCCCGGAGAAGGTGCTCAGGACCGGTGAGTGTCCCCACGGCGGAGTGTCTCCAGCAAGAGGCACATCAGTAAAAGAAGGTGCAGTCGCCGTGGACTCAGCCTCCCGGCGATGATGTGGCAGGCGGGTGTCACCAAGGAATCTGCTCTGTCTGCGGGGGGCCGGGCGCAGGCTTGGCCTGCCATTGTCAGCGAGCGTTTAAAATTGTTCCCAGAATCACCATCTTTTGACACCAATAAAGCCCGAAAGTGGAGTTAATGGAGGTGCAGGGCGAGTCGCCCCCTCAGCCCCCCAGGAAAGGCTCATCCCCCTGTGAAAGTGGGGAGTGGGTTGGCAGCTCCAAGTCCTTGCTGTCTCAGGAGCGCTCGCTGGGGAGCCCTTGAAAAACTGGGTTTCTGACAGCGGGGTGACGCCTAACCTTCAGGACCCCCCATTTTTTGTCTGTAATTAGGGTCTTTTTCTTGACAAGGCTTTCCTGAGTTGTATGAGCTTCAAGGGTCGCCGGGACTGGACCTGCCCGGCAGCTGGCGGTGGCCGCGCCAGGGTAGCAGATGCAGGGTCAGTGGCGCCTGCGGGGCTGGCCGGCGGCTGCTCAGAGTGTCCTGCAGACACAGTCCGCGTGGCCCGCCCTTCATGTGCTTCAGGAGAAGCCAGAAACACAGGTTTTTCTGTGACTTGATATTTTAAAATGATGACAGATATTTCGAAATAGAAATCACATGTAGACAAGACAGAGGGCGCCCGCTGGTGGCCCTCCCCAGGCACCTCTGGGCGTTCTTTCCCGTGTTTTACCGAGACCCTGAAGGAAGTCTCCTTGGCCCTGACTGCAGACAGGCAACGCTGGCCGGGGCCGGCAGTGGCCGCTCACTTCCTGGCCAGGCAGTCGCGGCGAGGCCTCTCCCCTGTGCCTCCTCGGAGCAGAGCTGACCATCCTGGGTCTGGGCTGAGGCCTCTCACCAGGAAGCCCCCGTGTCGCTGGCTACTCTGTGCTTCTGGTGTGATGCAGCTGCGCCTTCCAACCAAGTCCTGACGGGGTGTGGGGGGGTCCTCCAGGGTCCCGGGCCGAGAGGTGGTAGAATAGATCTGGAATGGCCTGGGAGTGCCAGGCCAGCTCACGCCCCCACAGAGGAGGTGGCCAGGGAACGGGGCCAGGGCCGGGCCCACGCAGGTGCCAGGCTTGGCGTACACCTGGAGAGCCCTGAGTGCCTCTCTGTTGCTCACTGTAGTCAGGGCCTCGGGAGCGTCACAGCTGGTCCCCGTGGGCTGTGCCGCCTCTCAGGAGGAGCGGCTTTTGGGAGAGTCCTCGGGGCCGGCCGTGGTGCGGCCCCTCCCCCAGCTGCAGGAGGGGCATGGGGGGGGGTCCACTAACCCCCCAGCGCGTGCACGTGTAGGTGAGAGAGGTGACTCCCAGGGAACATGCCCGCTGCGTGCTCTCTCCACACCTGGCCGTGCGTGCGCTTGGTCGTGTGACGGCAGGGCCAGGTCCTCGCTGCACCTGGCCTCCTGGGCCCTGGCTTTCATGACCGTGGCCTGGACGGGAGCAGGGGTCCCCTCGGATTGCGGGCTGGGAACCAGGCACCCCAGGCACTGAGGGCAGAGGCTCGCTGGGCCGGGGCTCCTGACTGCTTGCAGCGAGCACTAAGCGGCTCCTGACCCAGCCGCAGCTGTGAGCAGGGCCCTGGGTTAACAATGGCAGTGGAAATTGTCTTGGGCTGTGAAGCCATTCGTTTCTTTCTTGAATGTGTTTGTAACTTTATTCTGATATAATTTCAATGTTACTGAAAAGCTTCAAGAAGAGGAAAGACTCTCCTGCATCTCCCTTACCCAGCCTGGCTGTCTGCGGTGCCGTTCCTGCCGCCCGTCCCTGCCGTGTGCTGTTTGTTGGGGAACAGCTTTTCTAAGCATTAGAAGAATCGCTTGGAGATACTGCACCCTCTCCCCCTAAAGAGATCGGCGTGTTCTTGAGAACAAGGGTGTTCTCTTCCACAGGCCAGTGCAGCTGGCGGATGAGGAAATTCAACACCGACCCGGTTTCCTGACCCGCTGCGCCCGGCAGCCCCCTCCGGAGCCTCTTTGCTGGGCATGGCGGGCGGCCCCTCTTGTCTTCGGGGCATGAGTTTTTAGTGCCGACCCCGTGTTCCGCCACCGTCCGTGGTGGGGTGCCCGCGGTCCCGCGAGGGGTGCCCGCGGCCCGTCCTGGCCGTGGCGATGCCGGCTCTGCCCCGCCAGGGGAGCGCGTCTCCTCTGTGAGTTAACGGCCCTTGCCTTTGCCGCTAGCAGGTGCTTGTGCAGATGTTTTCCAGCTTGAAGACCCCGGCCTCGCCCGGCTTTGGCTGTGCGGTGGCCCCCGCTGGGCCGTCCCGACCCACCGGTCTGCTTGTGCGTGCTGAGTCTCCTAAGGGCGCCCCTTCCCTGCTTCCTTCTGTTGCTTGCTTGTGTGCCCGCCTGGACTCAGGATTTCTGTTTACTCGGTGGCTCTCCAGCCCCTTGTCCTCGTTGTCTTTGGGGTTGGCCAGGGGAGCCCTCGCTCACTGGCTCGTGTTCCTCAGACGTGGGCCACGTGTCTTTGAGCGCTCTCTTGCTTTTCAGCACGCCGCGGGCTTGCCCAGTGGGGCCGGGGCACCCCGAGCACCCGCTCCTTCATGCTGCCGTCGGGGACATATTTATGTTGTTTGGGACTTTTGTTCACATGTTGGGAAAGGAGACCTGGCGGCTCTCGGGAATGACTTTCTTTCTCCGGTCCCTGGAGCCGCTTTGTAGCGCTAGTGAAGATTTGCCGTGGGGACAACTTAAGCTAAGCCGGCGATGTGGCACCAAAGCTGCTGTCCTTCTCCTCACACTAGCTGTGGCCTTCGCTGGCTGCCCGGGGTGGTCTGGTCTGAATGTCGGGAAACTGAGGCGCAGAGGGGCTGGGACCTGCTCTAGCTACCGAGCTGGTGGAAAGAGTGGAGCCAGGGTTTCTACCTAGTTCAGAACTCACCTTTCCAGATAGGCCTTGTTATGACGTAACACATTCCTTACGCTAAGTCATGAAATCTTCCACGGGACATGGAATAACAAAAAAGTTTATTTGTGGTTCAAGATCTTCCGCCTGCTGCCTAATTCAGGCATGAAAATCAGCTCTGAGGAACCAGCGTCTGGTAAGCACGTCACTCTCACTGGTGGGTGACTCGGCTGGCCTCGTGTTTCGGTCAATACCCAGAAGTTCCCTAACCCTTTTATTTTCTTCCTATAGGAATTTGCTTGCTAGAAAACAAAATGCAAGACTTGACAAACAAAATGACTTGGGATGGAAGTTATTTGGAAAAGTACCACTCCGAGAGAATGCTCAGAGAGATTCAAAGAAAATGCAAAAGGTATACAAGCCCCAACACAGACACTCGCTGCGCAGCGCACGCCCGGGACGCTTGCGGCGTGACCACTGCCGAGGCTCTGGCTTTGGGAACGTTTATGTTGATTTGCATGCCAAGTGTTTGCGATTTAAGTCTGGATTCAGAACGCAGATGACCTTAACCGTTTTCTTTCTCACAGCTGGTAACGCGCGCAGGGAAGTTCAGCTGAGGGCCTGGACCTCGGGACGAGACTCAGTTTGCTCACTAAGAGCTGCCGCGCGTTTCTCCTCAAGCTCTGTTGCTTGTTTGCTGTTAAAGCCTCTCCCTCTTTATCCCCTCGGGCTTCTTGGAACTTAATCCTCTGCTGCTGCTTCTAGCAGGGAAGGCTGAGGCCAGGGTTCACCCAGGCTGTCGTGCCCCCTCCCCATGCCTCTCCAGCCGCCCACTCTCTGGCGGTGGGTGCAGGGCCAGGCCAGCCCCTGTGGCTAATCCCCCGTGATGCCAGCAGCGGGGGGGGTTTGTGCTCCTGCTCCCCAGGCGGGGGTCCAGGCACAGGTTCAGCCAGGCTAGGGATGTGTTTTGCTTCCACAGCCCTGCCTGTTACCACCTGCTTCTCCCCCAGGCTGACCGGCCCTCCCGGCCGCACTTGGCTGTGGGCTCGGTGCTGTGACGTTGCTTCCAGTGGCTTATGCTCCAGCCTCCGTTTTGTACTCACTGCAAGCCGTTCGGTGGCCTTGGGGCTAGAGAAATGACACAGGCCCTATGCTTAACGATCACCCTGTGGCGAGGATGTGGGTCCACTGCAGGTGTGGAAGGAGCAGCAAGGTCCGGGCCCAGGGAGGTGGGCCCTCCGGCAGGGTGGCCTGTAAAGGTGTGACAGACACGGAATAATGGGCTCTGTGCTGCTTGTAAGTGCGTCCACTCTTGGGTTTCTAGTTCATTTAAAGCTTGCAACAACTTTCAGAAGATATTACCGTCCTTATTTTACCAAGAGCTTCAGAGCAGCTGGCTGAGTGACTTTGTGGGGTCACAGCTGGGGGGAGGGGGCAGCAGGGAGCGGGCGGCGTGCGGAGGGCAGCCTGAGCGTGGGCCGAGGAGGCGAGGGTTCCGCAGCCTGTGTGCGTGCTGGCCCTCGCTACAGGCTGGGGTCGAGCCGGTGCCCTCGCTGGCCCAGGTGAGAGAGGTGGGGTGGGGGGCTGCTGAGGACAGCCCCTCGGGGCTCCAACCATGTGGGAGTCAGGGGTGCGTGTAGGGCGGGACTCCAAGCCCACGCTGGGCTTCCGGCTGGGGCCACAGGTGGTTTCCGCGTGATTCCTCTCTCTGTCTGGGCAGATGACCTTGGTCTTGAATGTTGTCTGACATCCCCTAGAGTGTCGTCTGGCCCCAGGAGACTCCCTGAGTGAACTGGTATCTCAGCTCCTTTTTATAGGTTGTTTCATTTTGAGTTTGAGTCGCTTATTGTATAATTGGCTTATGAAAGTGTGCACTGAAGAGATGATGAACTTGTAGGCAAAGCTCAACTGTAAATTTCCTAGGAGACTAAGAAGCCCAAACTGTGGGAAATTTTTAAAAGAATCTGCATTAAGAAATAGCAATTCACCGAGAAAATGACAGCTGCCCCAGTTTCCCTAACAACACCCTGCCTCACGCAGGGTCTCCTCACGGTCTCCGTTGTAGTTTTTTTTTCAAGGCGAGCATGGGATGTGTTCTTGCACTTGCTGGAATTCCATGGACTGGAATGACTAGGTTTGCTTGTTCGCAGTGCCCGACACGCGTGCCCGCCCGCGCCCGGCTGTATCTGTGCCTCTCGCCCCACCCTCCAGGCTGCCCAGCCGGTACTGGGCCCCGCTGGCTGCCGTCACGGGTCACACGGCTGCCCCACCTGAGTGGGGCCAGTGCCGGGGCACAGGTCCGGACTTGTGTCGACTCCGGGCGGAACTGAAGCCTAAACCAGGTGTTTAGGAGCCTCCAGTCCCTTTCCCTTTCCCCTTGAGGTGGCTTTGTGGAGTGGAGCAGCGCCGCACCCTGACGTCGGGACGTGGACGCTGCGGTCTGGCCGCTGGCCGGTGTCCTGACTCGGCCACGAGCTGCCTGGTTTGGGGCCAGGCACCTAACCCCTCTGAACCCGGTTCCCCCCGGGTTCCCCCGGGCTCACTTGGAGAGTGGCAGCGCCTCGCTGTGCGACGGCGAGGATTACGCAGGGGCTGTGAGGCGCGGGCTCGGGACTCACCGGGCTTGTGAACCCGCAGAGTCTCGGAACCCACCGTCCTCTCGTTGATTGCACAAGTTTGAGTCACGGCACAGGAGCACCCCGGGTCTCAGAAGGCCGAGGCTTCCCTGGCCTGGCCTTTGCTGGAACTTAGCGCACCTCGGGAGGAGAGGTGAGCACATGACTCTGCACGTCCTGGCGGTGGGGATGGGTGTCTGAGGAGGAGCGAGACCCCCCTGAGCACGTTGCCCTGGACTCAGTTCTCAAGCGGCATCCGGCTGTCAGACCCCACATGGTCCCGCCTCGGGCCTTTGTCCAGCCGCCCCGCCCTCTGCTCCTGGGGAGACACCCCCCTCAGCCTCTGCTCCCTCGCCTGCACTTGCCTCTGCCGGGGCTCCCAGCCCCCGTGGTGTTCTCGGAGGTCCCGCCGCCAGTGTTAGCGCCCCTCAGCACTTTGTCCACGCGCCCTCCTGGAGCAGCCAGCGGGACTTGGGACCTTAGAAGTCATGCCTGCGCCGACGCGGCCTCGTGTCTCCAGGCCCCACCTGGACTCCTGGGATCGGCACCCCACAGCCCCCCCGGAAGGCCGACATTTCAGCTTGACAAGCATGGGCTGCCTCTCTGTGTCTCCATGCTGTGCTGCCGGTCCCTTCGCCGCCTCGGCCGTGGTCTTTTCCAGGCTTAGGCCTTTAGGGTTGTTCTCTGTTCTTCCCTCACTGCCCCTCGCAGTCTCTTTCACGTTCAAACTCTGTGGGTGAGTCTCACATGCGGTCAGATTTGAGAAGCAGAGACTTGCTGGAAATTGTGAGGCCCCAGTGCAGTCATGTGGGGGTGAGATCGTGAAGGGGGCTTCCTGGCTCCTGACGTGAGTCATGGCCCCTCAGTTGCTCGAGTTATTGAGGAATGGGGAATGGGTTTTATTTATTTATGCACACAAGAATGGGGGTGCAGGCCAGAGGTGCGGGGTGGGGGGCAGTGAGAGGATTCCCCAGAGACAGAGTGGGGAGCAGAACAGGCGGATCTACCGAAATCCACTGCTGAGGGGAGCAGCGGGGAGACTGGAGAGGTCTGCCTCGCCATGTGGGTAGCTCCCTGGCTGGGATTGAACTTGTGCTGCAGAGGCTGCAGATAGCTTTATAGTGCAGTGCTTAACCCCTGCGCCACCAGGGAGGCCTGGAGGATGCATTTTTTTAAGGTAAATTAATAACTTCCTGGCTATACTAATTTGTAGGAAATGTATAAGATATTAGCAAATTAAAAAGAAAACATTTGAAATCTTTTTGTCTCAAAATAACCAGTGTTTGCATTTGATGTTTTTCATTTTAAACATTTTCTATGTACTTTGCTTTTATTTAAGAAAAGGTTTTTTTTTTTTTTTTTAAAGATTTATTTATTTATCCATACAAGCACTGGGTACAGTCAGAAGCGCAGGAGGGTGAGAGAATTCACCAGAGCCAGAGCGGGGAGCAGAGCAGGCAGAAGGACCGAAGTACACTGCTGAGGGGAGCAGCGGGCGGCAGGAGAGGTCTGCGTGCCATGGGGGACCCTCGCCGGCGGACGGGGATCGAACCGGCCCTGCAGAGGCTGCGGGCAGCTTCACAACCCAGCGCTCAACCGCTGCGCCACCGGGGAGGCCCTTTTTTTTTTTTTTTTTTTTTTTTTTTAACAAAAGAAAACATGGTTTAAAGAGTAAAGACATGTAATTTGAGTAGATACGAGAGGCTCTCAGGGCTGCAGATTTGAGGCAACACTTTAGTTTGTGAATCTTTTGGACATAACACCCTATGCCCAGACTTGAGGAGCTGCTCTGTTGACAGGGGATGAGGTTGAGCAGAAAGGTGAGGTCCTGATGGGCTCTGAGGCCACTGCTGCTGGCACTGGGTGGCGGCAGGATAGGCAGCCAAAGGGTTTCATTGCCCTGGGGCAAGCGCTGTCACGTGAGCAAGGTGGTTGTGCAAGATGACTACAACAGGGTTTGTGTGGCCTGGAATGCCTTGGGTGGAATTTCAGGTGAGTCCTTGATGGTAAAGAGAGAATCCCAGAAGACACTCCAGGTCAGTCGCTCCCCTCACCTCTGGTTCTGAGAACCTGGGTGCTTAGAAATCACAAAGCTGCACACGTGGCTGGAAGACCAGCCTGGGCCCTCGAGGGCGTGTTTGGCTGCAGATGCCCAGGCCGACTCTCAGCAACCAGGAAGCCACCTTCACTCTTGTCATCCTGCTGCCTTTGGAAGTGGATTTAAACCAGCTTACAGCAGCGAGCAGGCCCCAGCGCCGGGCAAGGAGGGGCGCGCGCAGGCTGTTTGCATCTCCCAGCGAAAGCAACAGCAAAAGTGGACGTAACACGTGGAGCAGCTGCTCGGTTCTGAGGATTCTGAGCAGTGAACAGCAGGTGGCCTGGGGAGAAAACCAGGATCCAAAGCACCACCACACGGAGGTTATCATCCCCCTCATGTTTCCACCAACCGGAACTTGAGGTAAACCCAAGCGTGGGTGTTGACATGGACAGAGTGCTGGGAGCAGCTCTCTGGCTGTCTGAGGAGTGGCCCCAGGACTCAGGGAGCGTGCATGAACCCCACTTTTCACTTTCCTCTGTTCTCATGCACCCAGGCCGAAAGCTGTCTTGCGGCAGCAGCAATCAAACAGAAAGGGGAACTCAGTCATCTTGTTCCCAGAAGGTGGGCAAGCCCCGATGCTTTGCTCTTCTCCCCTCCCGCTGTGTGGTGTGTGTGGACATCAGCGTGGGAAATGTGTGGCTGGAGAACCAGAAAGTATGGGGCATGCTGTCCGGAGGAGGCTTGGGAGAGAGGCCCTGA